TATGATGACGAGTCTATCTCGTAAGTTTTCCATGCCAAATCCCATAAATTATTTTTATTATTATGTTAATATTTTAATATGGGCAAAATTTATATAAATCTTAAAAAAATTTATAATTTTATTGTGAATAAAATAGGTATATAGTGACTAATTAAAATGAAATAATTTTACAGTTCACAGTGTCTCATAATTAAATCATAGTGCAAGAGGTTAAAGGGGTCTTTTACAATTCTAGGACCTAAAGGACCTTTTTGAGAATTTTTTTGAAAGAAACCATAAGAATTTTCGACATAAAGTTTTCGTCGTCTTATTAATTCATGTTTCCAGAATACTCGCAATTTTTTTCAATATAAAATCATGAAAATTGTAAGAATTATATAACGATATATACGAACAGGTTTAAAAAATGAGTCCTGATAGTTGACATAATAGCAGTTGTTCTGCTTATCGAAAACGTAATACCATGTGCGATACAATTCTTCTACAACTCTCGTTCTGTCCCAATTGTTATTAAAGATACATATAGGTAAACTAGATAAATCAATTTCAAAAATAAATCATTTTACAATAATATTTGATAAAAAGATAAAATACTATCAGATGTTAGACATCGCATAACAAGTAAATATGGAGACTTCGGCTGGTTATAAGATACATCATTGACGGCATACGGAATATAACAATAAATTTAAAGTTATATTATATTTTCAAATATACATTTACATACCTACATTATAATTTTAATGACTATAAGTTCACTGTTTATAATTAATACAATGTATTAACATTAATACATTAATTGCTTTAATTTATCATCCTTTGTAAAAAAAAAAAAGTATTGTTGAAGCACTTACAATTAGATTGCTGCATAATATATATTGTTAGATGACTAGTCATTTAAATTTAATCATCTATTCGTATTTATCTATGTACATTAGATAAACTCCAAACCGGCCAACTTTCCCTTTTATCCCTTTCGCATCCTTATCGCCCTATTGCTCATTCCAACCTCGATCTTTTCTACATCATCCTCTCTTAACCTTCAATCTATAGACGAACCCCATTTACTTCCTTATTCACATTTAAATATTGCCAATAATCCCAAAATCACCAATCTTATGCTAGTAGTCGATTTGGAGTGTCACTGTAAAAGATCTAGTACGTACTCGTACAAATGTACGTTTGTAACAAAAAAAAAGATTTATTTAGAATACAACAATATATATCAGGTATGTATGGGAACATACCTGACAGTACATAAGAGCTTCTCACCTTGACTTTTCTTTCTTTCGATATATAAGACAGAGTAAAGCACATAGAACTCTATTCTCGTCGCTATATAATAAACACAGTAAACTCACAATCATGTTCTAGCCAATACCTTTTCAACTAGACCTATATGATTAATTTCATTAAAACCAGCATCCAAAATATCATCCCAAATTGCGGTGCTGAAGACGTAACGAGTATCAAGTCATTTATAATAAAAACCCATTAGTTTAGGAGATATTTTAATTTTGATATTATTATAACTCGGTAGTAGTTATACTCAATTACAATATAGCTAATATGCGTAACATCTAACGGTTATGTTCCTACTAATAATCTTATATAATTGAAAAAAGATTATATTGCAAAGAAAATAATATAAGACAAGGATAATAAGGATAATAAGAATAATAACAACGAAAGAGCAGGCCTGTGTTAATGAAGGACGAAAGTGATACTGGACATTATTAATAGTGATTGTTGTAAGTGTTTGGTATCAGAGGCACTGTTTATATCATAACTCTTATTTTAATATCTTTATTTTCGAAAATTCTAAAGACTTTATTATTTTGTATTACGACTGCAACTCCAATGGTTAGACGTGCCTTGTCACACTTTCAGCAGATTAAGTTATATATCTAATTGCAAAAATACAGGAAATTTACAACTACCACTACTACGACCTAATAGATTGGATCCACTTGCGACAGACCCACCGAAGCGACGAACGGACACCTACTTATAAATCACGTCATTGACTACCGAAAAGCAACTTCCTTGACAATTTCTCACTCCTCAACCAAAAGTCGACATATCTACGTTCAATCAACAACTCTACTTGTCCTCCACTAACATCCACTTAACCAATTAAAACAATCTCGAACAGGACACGACGAGATATTACAGAAATCAAAAAACAGAAATATACTTATTCGATACCCATCACCGAAACATCTTATAAATATTGTAAAACGCATGTCCGAAACGGTACTTCGCTAACGTTTTACATTTAATTATTGCACAGTTTAGTTACAATCACGATACTAATTACAAATAAATAATCTATTTCAAATTACATTATCTGTAAAAATATAAAACTAATCACGCAATATTAAGTTGGCGCGTGATGCATTTTTGACAATTGGAGAAATTCAATTGATTAGATGCAACAGTGAGGGTACTGAGAGTAAAGTATTAGGATATATTCTTTGAGGCTTGAAAGGTCACATTTTATCTGTCTTTGCAAGTGCGCCTAGAATTTTAGTTAGTGAAGGATATTTTTGGAGTTCGAGAATGAGTGTATGGGAACGCTTGGGCCGTCCCCGAAAGTAAGGGATATTCATGACTGTATCGAGTACGAGCAATGAGCGAAAGTTTAGGAATACGTCTGAGTGTTTGAAGTACCTGGCCCACTGAGGGTGAGGTCTTGTGGGAAATGAGTGATCGAGAAAAAAAGCCTGTGTATGAAAGAAGAGAGATTCTTAAGTTTAAATAAGGGAAGAGGCAGTTTATGTGCAATGTGTATGCTGAGAGAGAGTCAGTGTCAGAGGTCAGTGTGTAGAGTGTGTAGAGTAGACAGAGTGTTTAGTGGAATATTAACGTTATGTTAGCAAGATAGAATTAGATTAACCTTAAAACTATAGAAAGTAATAGTTCATCTTTTAAATATACATTATCGTCTTTCTAATGTATATACCCAGTGCACATAAATAACAGATATGTTTATAAAATTTTACATTTTTTAAACAAACTCTTTTCCTCTCCATATTATAAATACTATTAGATAATATGCTGCACCAAAAATCTATGGTTGGCTATTTTAGGGAGTGGTGGGAGTAGTGGAATAAGGGTGGGGATCTCGAGCATGCATCAGTGAAATATCAATGTGGGGTTTCGAGAGACACTGTTACCGTTGAGCGAGGGACCTTGGTCCGAGGTTAATCCACAACCGTGTTGAGTCATGTGTACCCTTTCTCATTTTTGTTGATAAAATTAAAAAAGATAAAAAACAAATAATATTGTATAAATAATAATATAAATAAATTATCAATGTCACTATAATGACACCAAAGTGTTAAACCAACAAATCAATTTAGTTTAACAGTAACTTGGTAGTTACACTCGATTTTTTAACTTGAAGACTTCAAGTAATTTTATAGCACTGGTTTATCATTATTCACACGTTTCATAAGTAGTTCCAAGTATTAGTCACATATCGACCTACTCAATTTTTAATAAAAAATCTTGCTTATCCATAAACCTATAAACACGTAATCAATCTGGCCCACTTCTCACTTTTCATAGCCGTGACAACACCTCTATTGGTGCCACGCCACCACTATCGCAGAATAATGATCGTACTATATCATATTACAGTAGCCTTTGAGACTACAAACGACCACGCATAAATTTTATCACTTTACTATTAATGAAAAGATTATTTATTATTTATATGGGTATGTCATTGAAGTCATTTCCTATAGTATGTCATTGAAATCAATCTTAATATCTCATTTTTATTAATTTGGTAGTAATAAAGCAACTCGTTTAATTTGTTAAATAATTATCGATAGGCTTTTATTTATAGATTATTCTTGATAAAACATCGTATGAAGGGTTAGGAGGAAAGAGAAAAATATTATAAAGTTTATAAACAAAACCAATTTATAATACACTCCTTATGTTTTATTCCTTTGTATACTACTGTATGTATATATATAGATACATATATAATATACAATATAAATATACAATTATATAATATATAATATACTGTATATATATAAATAAAATACTGACGTTTTATTTCTTTGCTAACCACTGGAAAAATTGTTATATAAATGATATGACTTATTAAATGTATGTCATTCTTGTGAATAATTAGCTGAAATTTTGTGATTTTTTAAAATATATAGGGTATTTCAGCTAATTCATATCACCTGATATTTGTCTTAATTTTTTCTGTATGTAAAAACTATTCAGGTCAAAATTGAATTGTTTTAGGGTTTGTATACATTTACGAAAAGAATTTTTTTGTCGAAATCATTTTTTTTTTTTTTTTTTTTAATTTCAAGGTCATCGATTTTTTCCTCAATTATCCCACATTTCCCCTTTATTCTTATGGAGGACAAAAAGAATTCATCGGCTATAATAACTATAACATTCCTAATACTTTCTCTCGCGATGTTTTCACGAAAATATTTCCATTTTTCGAAGCAGTTGTTAATATATAGTTCTATTAATGATTATTGTTATATTGCATTGTATTAACTGTTAAATGATCATAACAAAGATTTTTTGCACTGCAATACATACGATTTAAATAAATAATCACCTTAAATAATACAAAAAAAAGTTTATTATGCATATGTTACAAATCAAATCAAATTTTATTACATTAGTCTTGTAATAATAATTTTTGAAAAATAATTTCATAAGTTTTATACTCTATATTTATCATATCATAGATAAAACTAATAATGTATGGCATTTGTTTAAAAATTAGTGAAAAAAATACTACAAAACGGTAAAAATGGTGTCATTAAATTTAAGTTCATGAAGTATTACTGTATTTAATAATAATATACAGTAAAAAAAATATATTAATAATTCTATTTCATACTGAAAATATCCATTTTGTGATTTTGTGATTGTAATACTAATTTTTGAAATTATTCTTATGTATAAACAAGATTTGATCATTGTACTTACTAATATTTATTTCGATCCAGGTAATGTTAATGAGTCCACAGTGGAGTGAGTCTCAAGAAAGTAGAGTAACCCTCCAAGAAACACCACAATGTGTACCTATATTTAGTGAGTTTTTGCGGTACTTTTATACTGGTCAAATAAAAATTAATTATAGTGTCGTTTTACCGATATTATCGTTAGCTGATAAGTATAACGTTAAGGATTTAATATCATTGTGCCTTGATTATATGCAAAATCATATTGCGTTAGCTGCCATACACGACACTCTAGTATCATGGTTACAATATACTTCGAATTGCGGTCATCACAATATTACTCAAGCGTGTCAAAATTTTATTAAGTGGAATTTAGATTTAGTGGCTAAAACTGCAGATTTTGGAAACTTTGATTTAGATATCTTAGTATCGTTACTACATCAAAGCAGTTTAGTGATAAAGGATGAAATGACATTGTACAGATGTCTAGAGTCTTGGTTAGATCATCAGGTAAATCGATTGAAAACTCAATTGTCCGACGATGAATTAGAAGCTACGTTAGAACAATTGGTAATAGCTGTCATGACTCCTGTTAGATTTCCAATGATGTCTCCTCGACAGTTAGCGGAATTGCTTTTATTTCCTTTAACGAAAAAATATAAAGAATTTTTTGTAGAACGCATGTCCATAGGAATGTCATTTCATTCTGGAAGGTTAGATAGAGTTAAAGAAGTGAGTTTGAATGAAGAAGATGGTGCGTTACTCTTTGAGCCAAGATTGTACACTGTAGATACATGTAGTTCTCTACTTACCATAGAAAATTTTCATAGTTTACCTCCTTACCACACAAGGACACTTGTGTTCTCCAGCCACTCCTGTCTAGCGGAGTATGCTGGCGACCGTGCGTGTGAATGGGTCGTGGATATTTATCCTAAAGGTGTGTGGTTTAAGAAATTTTTCTTAATAGTATGGCAAGGAACTGTGGAAATGCCAGAACATGTGAAACGTTTGGTTAGATTATCACTAACTTGTAAAGACCCGCCTGTAAATAGTGATACCGATATGCGAGTAAAGATAGGTGTTTTAATATATGGTCTGCAAGATGGTGTTGAGCATATCGCTAGAGTGACAGAAATTATTCACAGATTTAGTGAAGAAGAACGTATTCTTAATTTGGATGATCTCTTGCCGTTTGAAGAACTTAATCCACAGCTGGCTTCTGTATCGGAAAATCCGTCTCCGTTTCTAGTAGGTCCAAAGAAAGATATGCTCAAATTGCACATTGTTATATCACCAGCTAACTAGGACAGATAGATATCTTAGTTTTCATCAAATAAAGTTTTATTATAATTTTGAGAATCATCATTAAACTACATTGTTTTTGTTGTGTAAAACTCATGATTTTAGTGTATCACCTAGATTTTTTTTTCTTTTGGTAAATTGTTATTTTAATATTAGATTAATTGTAAGATAAAGTTTTGTATTTAGATTGTTACATATGATGGAAAATATGTAATAAAATGTTAGAAGATTTGGTCCGACTTTAGTTATCGGGCTGAGTTCAAGGTTGTGTTGTGTATTATTTGAAAGCTTGTGCCTCAAGAATTACAATGATGGTGGTCCAAAGTGAAACTTATACAGGGTGATTCGCTTGCTAGTAGAGTTAAAGGCAATACTGCCTATTCAGAAAACTTTATAGCTCACATGTGTACGTATCCAAATATAATTGCCGCACACATTCGTCAGATTATCTTGCAAAGACATAAGGCTGCTGCTGCGATATTTAGTGATGTTTAGACGGCGGTACTATCTTTGAATCGATCAATGAGGGAATCAGCCTGTAGATTTCGAAATATTAACAAAAATATATTAGTACTACATTGTGTTTTGCCTATACGTAACTCAATTCTATTCGATTATTTCGGGATCTTAATGAATATTCCAAGTTCGAACTTAGTTTTAGTAATTAGATTTGGTTTGGCTATTTTCATTTTGTCGCTGCTATATGGCTGCGTCTGGGTAGGAATTGTATAGTATAGACAGAATGCAATATAGTAGCACTAACATAGTTTTGTAAACGCCTTGGAAACTATAAATTTGTAGCACATCGAGCAGATACCATTGTAATTCTTTAGCGTATGCTTTCGATTCAAACCAATCGCCACCACTCATCCCTTTCCTTCTTCGTCGTTGTCACAATGACAAAAGCGCACTCAAAGATAAATATTCTGTATATTTTTGTCATGCTAATCTTTTCCATGGTAATGCTTAATTAATTATCTTTAAATAATCTACATTATCTAGATTAATTTAATTTTTGAAAAGTATCATTATTTGATACGATTTTGCAAATTTGCTATAAATTACATGAAACTTAACAATCTTATATTTATTTTATTACTAAAAGTGAAGAACTAGGGCAAATAAAATATGTCTTGGAAAAGTTATCATCTTTTACCCAAATTATTATACTTTTATGATCACTGTAAGAAACGTACAGGAAGGATTGTGATATCAGAAATTATTAAAACAGATACTAAATGGATTTTAAATGCGTAGTTGAAAATTAATATGGACGACTACCTTAAAGGTCAAGTTGAATTATGTTACAACATTGTTTACAATTGTTTCACAGATTGAAATAAATAAACCTACCTATAGCGAGCATAAAAAGTGTTATTTTCTTTTCTGTTAATATTCAATTTAATTATTCTGCTGGGTCACAGTTTTAATGTGATTAATATTACTTTGTGAGTTTGCACTTGAAGTCCTCCGCCTCACCTTAGTTTTAAGTTCTTGAAATCTATATTTCTGATATAATAAGAGGATAAGTTATTTAAACACTCTTTATCTTATTTACTCTCTATTTTAAATAGTTGATTCTATATCTATGCTAATGTTTTATGCTAGTTATTCTCAACCTACAGTATGCATACCACTACTGATATGTTGAATATTTCCAGATAACATACAAATTGAGAATTATATCAAACTTTTAAATTATGTTCAGTGGATATGCTACATTGACTTTGACTTGATCTTATACTAGGGATACACGAGGAAAAAGGTTAAGAACTGCTGCCCTATTCTATTTGGTCTCAATATTTGTTTTTTTCTTCATTACATAATGCAACTCGATTAATTCTATTTGTACATGTGACATTTGCAGAGAATAACAAAATTCGTGTGACATATATTGAAGGAGAGGAACCTGTTACAATGTACATAATTAAACCTGTATTCCTTCTAACAAGGAAAGTGTAAACTTTTGAACTCTGTAGAATCTATTGCATATCTGCTTCAGCAATGGACAGCTTCTTTCATATAATATACATTTTGCATGTGTAAATAAATATTTGATTATCAATCATCAACAAATTAAAAATTTCTTATTATTGATGCCTTCTCTGCAATATATCATCGTCTATTAACTTTAAAGCTAGTAGTCTAGCTGTCACACAAAATATGATACCAGCATTCGTGAGTTTTTGAATATGTTCAACATGTCTTTCAAATATAAGCAAGCATTTCCATTTGCACATTGTATCTTCATCATCCAAGATGTTCAATTTATTTCCCAATTATTGTTTTAATTATACTTCAATATTATTCATCTATGATATACTGATATCTTCATACAAATATTTGTCTATAATTTTAATTTCTCCGTTATTATAAGAAAGCCTAGGAAGAAATTTATCAGACAATTTATCTTTTATATCTTGTATCTTTTCATCATATAAATATTCTATGATATCTGGAAAGTAAAAAGTTAAAATTGTTGTCACAGAACAAGCCATTCAATATTTATTATGTTTAATTCAAGATCTTACCAGGGAAATGGTTTGTCCTTTTTTTTTTAATAGCTCCTTGTACAAGATACAAAAATGTTCTGCATAAAAAGATACTAGTAATTCCATCAAAATATTTTGCAACATCTAACCAAACTATTTCTCGAGTGTTTGAAATTCCTTTCCCATAAACACTGTAATATAATTTTTAGAATAATAGATTTGTCATATTTTACATTGCGTAAATAATATTAATCCCTTCACCTACAATATTGTGTGAGTAAATGGCTTGATGTGTGACCGACATTGCTGTTAACTATAGTACGCACTATTGGAACCTAAATGGTAGGTCAAGGGGTTAATATTAGAACATATATTATAAAAAATTAAGAACTCACTACTCGATTAATTTTATTTTTATATCATTTAAATGAATAGGTTCTGGACAAAATAACTGCATGTGCAATTGATAAATCCAGAATGTCCTCAATACATTATAATCTATATGTAACTTTTCTTCCAATTTTTGCCAAACAAGTTTTGGAATAATAGCATCTTTTAAATCTTCTACTGTTTCACACAATGTTACACTCATGAAAGTTTTTATAAATTTGCCAATTGAAGATAATGTCCATTTAACTTCAGTTGATGCTACAATAAAATTTGGTTTTAATGTAATTAATAATTTTTGATACTGAATCTACTGTAATTTTGTATATAAAACTCACGTTTATTATTTTTATGCATTTTTTTAAGTAGTTGATAACGTAACCAAATTGAGTGCTTTGAACGACCTAATATTTTACTTAATTCTATTAATCTTTTATTATTTTTTGCAATGTTTTGTTTACTGTTCATATAAGATAAAATATTTTCATCTTCCTTTGGTGTGTATCTTAATAATACATAAATAAATCATTTAAAATAATAAAGAAATACAAAAAATGTGTGATCAAAATTTAAAGTATAGTAAAAAGTTATATAAATAACATTCCAATTTTTTATATACCTCTGAAAACATTTTTCATAGTTTCTATACAAGTATCTAAATCTATGGTAAACACTATATAGTGTTCTCCATGGTAATCCATTTGCTAAAAATTGAGTAAATTTTCGTCTCTCCACTAAGCTCTTTATATAAAATTTGTTACCATATTTCATATTAATGAATGGTGTTACACATTTTGGATTCCAGTTATGAGCCTATATTTAAAAAATTATTAGTGGTAAGAATATGTTATGTAATTAATAAAACTTACTTCACAAAATGCTTCCCAATTATTTCTAATAATTGTATCTTCATTAGGTGTATATGTACCATTTTTCATTGGTCCATAATTTAAAAATAACTTTCTTTCTTTTTTTGTTAATGTTCTTGAACCTGCTGTATGTTCAATGTCGTGTTGTATTGGTACTTCATGCATTAATTTTACATTTAGATTATATAATGCCTGAAAGAAAAATACATTAATAAAATAATTAAGACGTAAGAAGGACAATATATTTTAATTTAGATATTTACATTTATTGTATCTTCGGCTGCTTCATCTAATGTTTCTTCTTCATTTGATGTTAACTCAATATCTAGTTCTCCCAAAATATATTTTATATGATCATAATCTAGATCAGTATCTTTCTTATTAGATTTATGTTTCCTGTTTCTTTCAGTATTATTCGCTACATTTGTTTTATTAGTAAAACATTCTCCTTCTTGTATATTTGAACTAAGCATAGTATCTTTATATTTTATTTCTTGATTTTCTATATTTTCAATATTGGTGCTATCATTGTTATCAATAAAAAGAGGATCAACCTCTGCATCTTTTGATAATTCTGTGATATTTTCTTCATGTATGGGATTATTCATTGTTGAACAGAAAATGTCTATAGATACTTTACTTTCTTCAAAATCCATCATAGAACTTAGATCATGCAACATATCAATAGCTTCGATGTCATTTAATTCATCATTATATAATTCATTTTTAACCATATCTGGTAATTGATCATAATCTCCAATATCACTGCTTAAATTTCTTTTCGTTTTTTTGTTAGGTGTATCTATGTTGCAAGAATATAATCTTTCTTCTTTACACTGTGTTTCCTGTGGAAGTTCTATTAAATTTATGCCTAAATTACTAAGACTATAATTTTGTGAGCTATTTATATTTTCAATTTGAACATCTTTTGAGTCTTCTAAGTTTTCTAATTTAATCCTTTTTTTAGGAGTCATACATAAATCTTCTATTTTACGTATAGTGATTATTGAATGTTTACTTTCATTTGTTTCTTTAACATGATCACTATAATTTGCAATATTTTTTAACATCTTTGGCTTTATATACTTGTAAAATGTACTGTACAGTATAAAACATACAATTAAATTCGAAATGGATGAGATAAAAGGCAGTATATAAACAACTATTTTAGTTATTTAGTATTATTTTATAATTTTATTATATCACAAGAAGTCTGTAACATTAAAACTATAAAACTATTGTTGTTTTTAGTAAAAAATTGTTTAATATTCTTCACATAAATTTATTTATGCAAATAGTTTTATCTTTAATGTTTCTTAATGATTGTTATGGAAATATATAATTTAAATTATATTTTATAATTAACATAATTATAAAATTGTTTGGTAAATAAAATTTTAATATTTTATTATTCAAATATAATAAAAATTACTAGTTTTAAGCGGGCTAACCTCGTTATGCGTTTACTGACAGATACAAGTAGCCACAATATTACAAGTACGTTTATGTTTAGTTCTATCTTCTATACAGTATATATATTTTTGTTCGGAGTACCAACACGCGGTATGGTCCGTAGCGTACACGTGGGCTAGGGCACAAAGGGACGCAATATGTGTTCAGCCTAGAGTGATTCTGGGAGGAAAGCAGCAGAGACGAGGTACGCACAATGATAGAACCAATACAAAAGTAAGCAGTTTTTATTGAGTGAATTGAAAAACGAACCGGGAGAAACAGAGAACGCAACTGAGATCGAGGCGTTTAAAGTAAGAAATTTATTTGCCCTAACACAATTATACAGTTACTAGGTTGAAACGGAACTGATCCATGGTGAAATATCCCTAGAAGATAGCACGTAGCAAGGACCTGCTTGCACGGATAATGCCGCTATGGTCGGCAGTTAAGGCGAAGCTTCATTGAACGACACGCGTCGGATGAGAGCGCCACAACTTTTGATTCAGATTTAACCATAGAGCATAATACAAATTTACATTCACTGCACTTTTTTATTCTACGAATGAGGAATTTGTAAGCTACCTCATTACTTTCGTATCAATTTTGATTGAATTTTAGTTTTGGTCAGTGTCATTAAGTGTAATGAAAGTATATATTCGATACAGAATAAACTTATAATAAAATATATTCTTTTATTAGATTACAGACGAGGTATAAGATAAACCTAACATTATATGGACTTTTGCAGCCAAACTTTGACTACCTACCGACTTAAATCTTTGAGACTGATTATAATGCCCTTTGTACAAAAACAGCGGTCACTTAAAAAACTATTTCTCGAAGTGGATTGGATTTAACCGAAAAAATGCTCTTATCTTTTTGTGCGTTATTTGTTTATATATTTTCAACAAAAATGTTAAATCTTGAGTCTCTTCTTAACAAAATCCCATAGGTATCTTCGTTAATAGAATATGTATAGACAAATACATTTATTTACATTTACTATTAAATTTTGTTTGTAAAGGTGGTTGAAACTCCTCTGCTCTGCATTTTCTAATTTGTATTTCTATTGTTAATGATTACATTAATATCACTATTCAGCCAATTTTAATTTTTTCTATGATTTATAACATCTATTAGGTGATTTTTGTGGAATTTATCTTTCTGGACACGAATTTGTAAACGAAATTTCTATCATCCTCAATTTTCAAAAAAACACGAGAAGCTATAATAAACTTTATTTCAGGATATAAGATTATAACATTAATAATGGTTGAAATTAAAACATTTGAAAAAGTTCATTAAAATTTATTCTACAATATATCAATTCTTTTTATGTACTTTACATTCTTATGTAAATAGATTAAAGTGTATGGAAGTTTCGATACTTGGAAAATTTTAGAGGAAATACATTAATAAGACTACTTGATACCAATTGATAATTTTAATAGAAATCAGTTTATTATTAAATTAATAATAAATACATGTGAGGTATGTTGTATATCATATAAAATATAAAATAAATGAATTTTTAATGCGAGCTTCTTTACATATACAATATAAATATATTTTATGGTCATAATTTTGTAAAAACGTATATAACAAGTAATTATCAGTGGGTTAATTATATAAAAATAGATTATTTATAGACTATGTATATACGTATTATATATTACATTATACATGTTATATTATATTATAATTTATTTATATTATATGTATGTACACTTATTTAAAAGAATGAATCTTTTTGAATGAATGAAAAAGTAATATGGAATTACGAGCAGCGAAGGACTCTAGCAAAGAAATAATAAACAGCGGCATCGGTTTCGACTTACGCGTTTAGGACGATGTCTAGAATGCGTACGAACGGATAGGTGACCACGTGCAAGGATTGTGATTGTGATTTATGACTGGGTCGAGTACAAGCAATGAACGAAAGTCTAGGAATACGTCCGAGTGTCTGAAGTACCTGGTCCACCAAGGGCGAAGTTTTGTGGGAAATGAATGATCAACGAAGAGAGCTTGTGTATGAAAAGAAAAAGGCAGAATGTGTGTAGTCGAAACGTAGTGAATAGAGGATCGTGTGTTTGAGAGTTAGAATTGAGAGAAACTTAGTGTAATATTTTAATTAAATAAACCTGTTTTGTTATTAAAAAGGAGTTGTTATTTATTAGACGCGTAGATCTCTGTCTGCAAGACAGGATTAATTTAGCAAAAAATCCTACAATAATTGTTTACAATGTTATATTACTTTATTTGAAACATTTTCTGATTGCAAGAAGTTAAAGGAGCAAACATAGAAACTAATATTCTACAGTGGTTGTTTCCTTTATAATGTTGGACGTATGCGCATCCTGGCGGGAAAAATTAAAATCAACGATTGCAAAACTGGTCTATAGCGAGACATTACCGGATTTTCTTCTGCTGTGAGTAATAAACGCCGATCTAAATGCTACAGGAATATAGACCCCAAAAATCATTTAGTTCCAAGAACCTTGCTCAACTGGGTAAGAACATGTTCTTATTCAAAACAATACAATGAAAGAAGTACTTTGTCCTACAATAGACCAGTTATAGTTCTTAGCTGTGGATCAAAAACCTTCATCCTTGATACGTGGAAAAATCCACGAAAATGATCATAAATGGGGTAAAACCAGATTGTTTGATTGTAAATGTAGAGGAGCGAGTTTCAAACCAGTTCATAAAGAACTACATCTGTTACTATTTATGCTTACAGTGGAAACAAAGTAACATGATCTGGAAGATGGTTTCGGATACCTACCAGATTATAATTCTCATGATTTAATCACTGGCAAGGAGATGATCTGGCAACTATGGCATTGTTGCCAAATACTTGTCTTTTTTTTCTATGATTTCATGCAACTGCGAATCTTAGAGAATATTTAGCACTCGAACTACCAAATAAGTCAAAATTACTTGTTTTGGTTACTTTATTTTTGCAATTACTTATTTTTATTATATTACTGCATTATTTATGTACTGTATATTCAGCTACTCATTACACATTGGTTAATAATTCTTCAACCAGATATGTTATCAATGAATGCACAATCATTATTATTATTCTAATAATTATTGTTACTACTATTGTTAATTAATTTTAATTAAGTTGTAAAAAAAATTCAATATGTTATCACAAATTCACAAGTATTTTCTATGACTTGAATGAAATATTTTAATAAAAAAGGCATTTTTTGTACACTCATGTTAAATCATGTTATGAAAATTTTCGTTTTTATTTCATAACGAAATAACTTTGCATTATACTCTGTGGAACAACTTTGATCATTTTGAATATTTCTCTTATTTTGAGAGATATAGAGAAATTTTGTATAAGTTGTATAATATGGAAGAGGATATTATATCATAGTAATGATTTTTTTTATATATTCAGAGATTTCAAGATCACTGCCATCTTTTTTAATAGCATGCTATATTATTTTATTCTTAGTAAAGCAGTGAATGTTTAGCTGATTTCAATGATTGCTAATATGAGGTCATTTAATAATAAATAACTGAAAATAAAAAAGAAATAAAACAGAAGGGAGATTTCTGTCCTAAGAAATAGTTGAAATAATGTTTGTTTGCATCAATGTAATAGCAGTCAAATCGTCAAATTGCTGAAGCATGTACACTTGTTATTACCTCCATATTAATTACAGAGCTTGATGTAATCTGTTTTGTTTCACATCTTATGGCATTATTGGTGTCATCTGATATACAATACTTTTTACAGTTTCCCATAGAAGAAATCAAGCTATTAAATTTAATAGGTAAACTAGTTAATCAGAAAATTGACTTACTACTAGTGCAAGGTATTTAAAACTTCGAAACAATTAAAAATTTTTAAAATTATGGAGATTCGTAGCTTATAAAAGTTTTAACAGCTCTTAAAAATTTCGAAAGTTTCGTGGATTTGGATAGCTTTAAAAGTCTTGAAGTTCTAACCTCGACTTGAACATAAAAAGGAATAGAAAAGTGAGTACGATGACAATTTGGAATTAGTTCTTCTATTGCTATATATCGCTAACAATGATTTATAAAAGGTTAAAGTTCTTTTAAATATTCGAAATAGTAAATATAATTTAATAAACGTAAATTGTAAATGGTAGTTAATGAACTAAATTTTACTGTTTAATGTTAGATACTTACAGCTGTAAATTCTAGATGATTCCGAATTTCGGCGACTTTAACAATATCATTTTCGCGTCAATTGAAATCGCCGCTTAATATAATAATTTACGAATACATTATATTTTTTTACATATGCCTATAGAATCTTTATTTCCAAGAGTATTGTTAGTTCACGTTTAGTGGCGTTGCCTTCACTCTATATAAACCGTGTCAAATATAAACTTGAATTTTCATATCGTTATATGGGTGTATGTATTTTGCGTTCAAATAAGAAAAAATTTTTAACAGGATGAAAGTTCCTTAATATCCTTAATACATAAAAAATGAAGATCTTTGAGGAATGAATACTATAATGAACATCCCTCTAATGGCAAACGAATTGAAATAGAATCGATATTTGAATCTGAAAAGCTACTGAAATTGCAACCTCAATGGATGTCGAGAATGGGAAGAACTTTTTTCATTATAACTACTGTGACATCATTTTGATTCTTTATAATTTTTAGAGAAAACCATTGTGTAATTAAAAATTGTATATTAAAAATTATTTTTGAAATTGTTTTAACCCTTGCTTCTAAATTGTTCAAATACTGCATAATTTTATTATTACTTTACATTGAAATATAAACAAAACCTACATATACTCGTATATAAGGACTACTAAACTACATGGAGAAAATTAATCTCGTCAAAATTTTCATTTCATGTTATATTTTTTAAATTGATTTTAAATCATGAAAAATGTTTGTAAAAAAACATATCACTTATTAGTACAAAAGTAATTTTACAAAAATGTAAGTTGATATCAAATTAACTCATACCTTCATCAAAAATTTCAAGAAGATTAAATCTAAAATTATTTTTACATTAGAAACAAAAACAGTTTTATGAGTTAATCCATCTATTTTTTTCATTCAATCTTCTAAAGAATTTATATTAAATACATCACACATATTTAATAGTACTGGTAATCATATATTCTATTTTAGACCATACAAATATTTTTATTATTGCTACTACTATTTTTTATAACAATATCACCTATTTTTTTATTATAAATTTAATATTTATTTAATGTATATACATATTTAAGTCATTAAAAGAAAATACGGAAACACTATTTTAGTAAAAAGTTGAATAAACTAATGTCATGAGTATGTACATTTGTTTAGGTAACATAAACCAAATTGTGGTTAAAGTTTCTTCATATTCATTAAGTCTCCAACATTAGTATATAATTTACAATTTACGTAACTAAGCCTGAAAGTGCTTAGTTTATAAGAATTATTCATGTAAAAATTAATAATATTAGGTTACAATTTTATCAAAATTATGTAAAAGACTGATCAATTTATTTTTTAAATTGAATAAAGATTTTGTTATAAAATTTAGTTTTATATAATAAAATTTATTATAAGAAACTGCACTAATATAATTTGAAGAATTAATATATTTGGTCTCTAATACAACAAATAAAAAAATTTATTCCATATAGATTTAAGGACTATCATTCCATATATTAATGAAATTATTTTTAATTAATGTAGCAGTAACTATTACATCAATATTATATCTTTAAAATAGAAAGAAAGCTTTAATTGTAACTACAAATAAAATGAAGAGACATTTTATTAAACTTAGAATATATATGCACATACTGATACATATTATGTTATGAATCTGTTTTAAATTTTGTATTATTTTAATACACAAAACAATAAATCTTCGAATAGTACAATAAAGTAAGAAATATATCAATTTCAAAGCTCATGATTAAAGATAAGTAATAAATTTAAGGTTAAGTTTAAAGGAAAATAATATAGAAATATGTAGAAATAAAGCATTAGAAACAGATAACCAATAAATATCTTTTTCATTTTACTATTATTTTGATAACCAAAGATTAACACCATAATATATTTTGATCTAGTTATACATAAATGACTACAATACAACAATCTGCATTGCTGGATACAAAATATGAATATTTATAAAATTATAATTTCAAACATATAAATGAAAACAATTTATTACATAATTTCATCAAAACTATATTACATAGTGGAATCACTATTTTAAAAATCTGATATTGTAATGGAAAATGTAAATTTTATATAATAAAAATTCATCAAGAAAAGCATTTTCAAAAAGCAAAAGACACTTAAAAATTCAAAACTTTAATATAATACAATATTTATAAAATTTATTTCATTAAATTAATATATAATTAATTATTATTTAATAATATAATTTTGTGGTATAACATGATTAAAACTAAAAATATAATAAATATTTAAAATATAAGTGACAAGTATGGATTAATGTAAATATGAAATAAATAATATAAATAAAAATACTGTTATTCTTTTGTATAAAAGAAGTGGAAGATGTACAGTTTATAATAAATATATATATTGAGTAAATAAAAAAAGTAATATATATTTTTATTTTTTAAATGAATTATAAAAAGATAACTAAAATTATAACTGAATGTTTATAAATAACTAAATAATTACATAATATATTTAAATCTTAGTCAAAGTTTAATTCTAATTCCATATTTTAATTTGTACAAGTTATAACTTATTTTTATATATTATTTTGACAAGTTCTGTCATGCGCATTATGATAATTGTAAAAATAATTTTTCTGTAGTAATAGGAGGTTATAAATTATATTTGAACTATCCTAGTAAAATAGATTAAAAATGATTAACATTTGAAACTTTTCTCACAGTTTTTATTGGTAGCTTGATTAAAACTTCGTTTCCATAAGTAGAAATTAATATTCCTAAACTGAAGTAATATATAACTAGTTCGAATTAAATATTATCAAATATCTAATTTTTAATGTAATAAATGCAATTTTTTTATTTAAATAATATTAAATGTATCGCTATTTACTTATAAAAAAATATAATTTTTTATGAAAATACATTAAATATAATTAATGAGAATAGACTTAATATGGAATATGAAATCTATAACTGGTTGTACATCATATACTATACTGTAGATCGAAGACCTTTGATTTTATGAGCGCTCACGCCATTTTTATTTATATGTGGTGGGGGGTAACAAAGTGTGCAACATTGTCTGTAGGATTTATAATTATCAAAAGATTGATCAAAAAGAACGCTTAATTTTGCGATGTAGTTGGAATGAAAATTGTGATTATCCGCAAGATAAAATTATATTATCGCGGAGCATATAAAGTTATTAATGCAATTACTGGATCTTCGTGTTACTGGTGTTAACTACAGATTTTTCTACAATTACAACTCGAAGAAAATGGATTATCGTCAAAAGGTAAGTACAAATCATTATAATAATTAATAAGTTAAAATAATTCATTATTTAGTTATTAATGTGATATACAATGCTAATGTATATGCTGATAATATGTATAATACTGACAAATTATATGTAGAAGTTATTTCAAAATCATTTAAAATTTAATAGTATATAATTTATAATGTTTTTTGCAAAGATAATTACCAAATATTGTTAAAAGTATATTTTGTTTATTATCAAAGTTTTATAAAATTGTAAAAAAATATATATTATAATTGCTGCTAGTTACTTGTATTAAATTAAAAAACAATCTTTGTAAACAATTTTAATACAGTTTAACATTTGATATTTTTAAAGTTTAAAGTAGTTTGTAATTGTGAAATATATATAATTATATGTATTACTAACAAATTTTGGACAGTTATTCAATATATTGAAATTACATCTATTATTTCTTGTAGAAGGTTATACCTTCTCAACAAAATACAAAGAATGATGATGAAGATGACGAAGATTTGGAAGCTTTACGACTTGCAGCTCTTCAGTCATTAAGAACAAAAGATACTGTACATAATAAAAAACAACCCCCACCACAGAAAACTATATCAGATGTAATACAAACATCTCACTCGTCATACAAAGGCCCACGACCTTTGAGAAGAGGATATTTTCATAACCGAATGCAGCAGCACCAGAATGGCGTAAGTTTCTAGTTATTGTTATAATAATACTTTACAATTATTTAATATCATAATCAATTCATGTATATCCCTTTGTTACATGTCATAAATGATCTATTCTTTTAATATAAATATCTTGTTAATAATGATTTAATTTCTTGTTTTTATTTCTGATTTAAATGAAATAAAAGTAGAATAGAAACAAATAATTTCTAGATATCATTTACTTTTATGAAAACTGTATCCAATTTCTTTAATGAATAATTAAAAATATAATTACAATATTTGTATACATATTTTGGCATATTAAAATACTATATATATTTCTGTTGATATAATATATATGAAAAAAATATTAGTTATTATTTGCTAAAAAATGTATTAATATTATCTGTTAATATAAAATATATTCCATGCCAAAAAAATATATGAATGATATATATTTATTAAGTGAAGGCAGAAAAAATCAATCTTCAACTTCAATAATTTTGTTAGTTGTTTTTATTATTGACTATGTAGCGGTAAAATAATTTGCAAATAATATAAAATTTGTATTATGCATCAATACATTTTTCTGTACATCAAATTATTTTATATATTTATTTGTGAAATTTATTTAAAATGTATCTAAGCCTATAAATCCTTATGTAAAACATATTAATCCTTATGTATTAATATTTATCAATCATTAATTAAAAATAAACATTACATTAAATTTATTGTGTATCTGAAATTGTGACGAGAAAACAGATTATTTTTTAATAAATTTTATAAAAGTATGTTGAAAAACAAGAATAGTCCTGTAGATTGAGTTTTGAATATCATACATCTATCAATTCTCTTTAAAGGTCTGCGAAAAGGAAAAATCTTGAATGAAATTATACTTTCAAATTTATTGTTATTATAAGTTAACTACAAGGTTTTTTTATGTATTCAAGTATTATATAAAGCTTTATGTAACAAAATATTGTGTTTCTTTATATCATAATTGATATTTAAGTATTTTTTATTATTTTAATAGTTTAAAGTTAAATAAACAGAATAAGGATATATAAAAATATTATAAATAAAGGTATATTTATTTTTAATAGAAATTACTTGAAATAATATCCTAATGGAAATTCAAATAATATCAAGTTCTAGGAACAGCATTATTTTTAGTTTTCACTTCTGCTATCAATAATTAATAGTTTATGATATACAGAAAAGTAATATAATGAAAGATTTAATTTGTAAACAAAATTAAAATGGCATTATATTTTATTACATTGATAACTCATAAAAAACAATGTTTTGTATGAGATTATATTGTATCAATAACATAATAATGTTTTTATTAAAGCAAAAATAGTTTTTTATGATGAATGAATTTTCTTCAAATTTAATTAATTTTATTATGTATTTGAAATATTTAATAAAATATAGTATATTTAAATATGATATATTAATAATATATATAAAATAATTTTAACCTATATTCCTCATACCAAATTAATACTTTTAATTAATACTTTTAAAATATAATTGTTATTGGACAATAATTAATTTAAAAAAGTAAACATTATATATACGTAATAAATATTACTTACACTAAAAAATAAAAGAAATTTGTATTATATAAAGTGACTTGTTATTGTATATAATCATTTGTTTAACTGTATAATGTATTGGAAATGAAACCTATAATTATTTTTTGTAACTCATAAAAACTATAAAGATTTTTCTAAATATATCAAAAATTAATTGTATATATTCTGTATATTTTATGAAATTAATATTTTCTATATGATTTTTAAAATCTTAGAAACATGTTATTTGAAATATTAATATTTTATCATAATTCGTTTTATATACAAATTAATGATATGCTGAATTATTTAAGATTTGTTTTTTATATATTTTTAAAAATTGTCCTAAATAATTGTATGTAATTTAAAACAGCAGGTATTATGATAATAAAAATTTTCATTTCCAATTTTTAAATAATTGAATAATTTAATTATACACAATATATTGTATATAAAACTTAATATACAATTCTTGTATATTTTAAAAATTTGTAGAGTATGCTAGCATATGAAATTCTTAAAAAATTATTGGTTACAATGAATACTTTAACTTTTTTTGTTCTGTTAATGTAAAAATTATATAAATTATGTTATGTAAATCTATTACTGTAAACAACAAAAGTCCATCAAATGCATTATTTAATTTATGTTTAATTTTTATCACTTTTGATTTATTTTATCATAGAATCATGGAATTAGCCTTTTATTGTTTATATTACTAATTTTTAATTATACTACCTATCACTGCCACGTTTCTAACTATTTTATGCAAATAATAAATATGTTGAATAATAGAAGGCTATACAATTTCATTGAATTTGTAATCTAAAAATTGTATTTAAAAATGGTATTTATTTATAGCCAAAATGTTTTCTTACAAATATATTTTTATTATTTGTTTGTCTTATAGTATAAAGTGAAGTTTGTTACAAATTATAATACAGATGTAATAAATATGCGTTATATTTATAATATCTCATTTCCAGTTTTGATAAAATATTTTTCTTCATAAAGTTGAGACTATTAAAGAAATATTATAGTAAATATTTCAATATTTTTCATGAATAATATTAGAATAATATCAGAAGAATAAGTAGCTAATTTGAATAACTATTACAGTAAACATAATTATAAAGCAAGGAATCAAATTTTTTATTAATCAACATTCAATAAATATAAGTTTCATTTAAATTCCATGTACATATATATATATATTATTGGTTACAGAATTTATATTATCAAAGTCCACGTAATCCAAATTTGATAGCAATAGTTCCTGTAGATGAATGCCATGTGCTGCAACAAACTGAGTTAGCTTGTTCGGTAGAAAAGACTGCTCCAAGTATTGAATCTTATTCTACAGGTATGTGAAATTTTCTACTATAAAGATAATTAACATTGTAATATTTATGTACTTTCTATTTGTCTTCAAATATTTTATAAGAATAATATTTTTAGAAGTATCAAAATTTCATCGCTTCAAAGATAATGGATGTGGTTCAGATGAAGATGATAAACAACAGAAAAATGTAATTTCAAACCCAGAAACTATTGAGAAAGATAGCATAGATGATAAAACATCTACAGTAGTTAAAAATCAGACTGAAACTACAGAAAACTCGAAAAAAACTGAAGAAGATCAAGAGGGAGTTAATGATGATGATGATGATATCATTATAATGGCTGATCTTGAAGAGGAAGATAGCTTAGAACGCTTAATGGATGAAATGGAAAGAGAAATGAATGTTGATAAGCCGTCCGAAAGGAAAGAAAAGAAAGGTAGCAGAAAAGAAAGCAAAGAATCAATAAAGAAAGATGAGGTAAGCAGGAATATAAATCAAAAAAGCAGAACAGAAGATAGTAATATTCGAAAAGAGAGTTATAGTCCAGCCCCAGCAACAATTATCTTAAAAAATGAAAGACGGTCTATATCTCCACATATGGTCAATCGAATTTCACAGAAACGTAGATCATTATCACCAAGGTCACGATCAAGAAAGAAATCACCTAGGAGATCTCCTAGACGATCACCTATTAGACAGTCCAAAAAATCTCAACGAGAAATAACAAGGTATAGATCACCTAGAAAGTCTCCTGTCCGTTACTCTCCGCGATCACGATCACCTAAGCTTTCGTCACGGTCAAGATCACCTCGATTATCACCACGTAGATCTCCAAATAAGTCTCCAATAAGAAGATCACCTATTAAGAGATTGTCTCCAAGAGGAAGATCTCCAAAACTTTCGCCGCATTCCAGATCTCCAAGACCACTACGATCACCTAAAACATCCATAACTAAATCTCCAAGATTGGCACGATCACGTTCTCCAAAATTTTCACCGCTTAGATTATCTCCTCAGTCTAGATCACCTTTAAGATTAAGATCACCTAAGTTATCTCCAAGACGAATGTCACCTTCGCGTAGGTTATCGCCTAAATCAAAATCTCCTGGATTGTCTCCTCGGAGAGGATCACGTTTATTATCACCAAAACTATCACCACGAAGAATGTCACCACGATCAAGATCACCAAGATTATCACCACGTCGATCGCCATGGTCGTCACCAAGAAATTCACCTCGTTTATCTCCTAGGCGAAAAAGATCTCCGAGATGGTCACCTAAAGAATTATCTCGAAAACATGGACCACGATCTATCAGTCCAGATGGAACAGGAAGTCCATCATATACAAAAGAATCATCACCAATAATTAAAAGTAGAATATCTCCAGAAATAAATCGTGTGAAAACGAAACAGAAGGAAGAAAATTTGGAAGAAGCTACTACAGTAGAAAAAGAAACTGTTGATGTAATTAATGATCCTGTATTAGAAGCCAGGCGAAGAAAATTTGAATCTACAAGGCCTATAGATCCAATAAATGCAAACAAAAAGATTAAGCTAAATAAAAAGGAAAATACAAATAAAAAGGTAGAGTCACTGGAAGGAGGAGATATACAATCGGGAAATGTAAGAAAAGTTAATAAAATTACAGAAGATTATGATATTCAAGAAACAGACTTGTGTTTAGATACTCATTACGAATTTGAAGACTTTGAACAGAGTATGGAAAATACTTCTCCTACTGCTATTACGAGTTCTGTTAATTCATGTATGGACTTAGAAACGCAAAACCCTGAAAAAGAAAGGTCATCAAAGAAAAAGAAAAAACGTGATAAAGAATTGTATCAAGTGGGAAAATTAAAAAATGAACTTCCCCTTTCTGAACGCATTGGAAAAGATAAAAAGTGTAAAAAACGCAAGGATGTTATTTCAGATGGATCAAGTGAGGATATGGACGCCATTTTTGAAGATTTAGTAGTTGATAAGGAAAGTGATTTACGAACTGAATTAAGTAGAAGACGAGCAGAAAGATTAAATAGGACAGTGCCAATTCAATCTGCAAGATTAGTGCAGTCTGCTTTTAAGGGAGTTGTTAATGAGTAAGTATTAATATACTGTATTATGTATACTTTCTATCACTAAAACATACAATTTTCTTATTTTTTTTAAATGAAAGAATCATATAGTATACAATATTTTTTGCCAAAAGTTTAAAATCACTTATATCTTTTTAACTCTCTGATTACGAAAAGTATATGTATATTTTATATGTAATAAACTTGCATTAATGTAACATATTTTTACTAAAGTTAAATAATATAATGTATTACATTATAATAATTTAAAACTTGTTATACTTAGAAATGAATTTCTCAAAATATAAAATTCTTTGAAAAAATTAATATTTTTAACACATCCAATTTCAGCAACATCAAATTTCAATTTCATTCAACATCAATTTCAATCCTTTTTCTTTTATACAAATAATTTAGAATGTATGAATATCATTCTGATAAAGTATCTGCATAAGTATGTTTACATAGTTATAAATATATATGAAGTAACTATCTACATTCTTTGTTTAATCTATGTTAAAGAGAAAATTTTCAATATTTTAATTTATATATTTCATATTTTCATATTTTTGAGATATAAAAATTATCTTTTTTCAGAGTTGTCAAGAGTAATGCGAAAGTAAATCAAAGACATTTGATAAAGGTGGATGAAAAAAGTAAGTAACATATGAAAATTAAAAAATTTTATTAAGTCTTGTATGATAAAAGCTGGGTCACTTTAGTTCCATTTATAATAACAACGTACAATTCTTCTATTCAGTGTTAATGTTGCAATCATCTGAAAGAAATTCAAGTTTAATATGCATATTATAATATTTGAAAGATGATGTTGTATGTAAATATGAACCAAATCATTTATATAAAAATATAAATTTTGTATTATTTTTTGTAAATTATTTTAAATGAATATTATAAAAATGATTTCTTGTTACTTTTACATAAACATAATAAAATATAATGGTGATGACAGTAATAACAATAGTAATAATAATAGCAACAACAACAACAAAGTAATACTTATATATATTTTACTTATTACGAAAGAATTAGCCCTGAATAAAATTTTGAAATTTATGTATGTATTTGCATGTTTATATAATGTTTTGCATACAGATCAAGTGATCCAGTCTAGATATTTATGATTTGTTGTTCGAAAGTTAATAAGAAGAAGTTACAATTATGTACTTGTTAATTTTAAACAAATTTTATACTAAGCTAATGTGCATTATAAAAATATTGTTAAAATTTATTGACAAAAGTGCATTTTGCAGATGTTACACAAGCTGTAGCATCTGTATATGTAGGAAAATAGTTTAGTTAATATTACATAACATTATTTGTGTAGAAGAATGTCATACAAAGTAAAAATACTAATATTATGTGTATATTTTATTATAATAATCTACATAAATTAGAGAAACAATTGTATATAAAAGTCCAACAATTTTTAGAATTTTGTTGTATAAGAACTATTCAAATTATTGCTTACTAAATAATATATTTTATTAATATATAATTTTTTTGTAGAAAAAAAATTTGATGGTTATAACAATACACATTTACACTTTACAAATTATAACATTTGGTATAGTTTACCCAGTAATTTAATTAAAGCTTTAATTATATTATATAATTAACATACTTTGTCATGAATATAATTTGAAAAGAAAATTAATTTGTATTAATATAATATTTATATATTATTATATTATATTATTAATTTTAATAACTTTCTCTTTTCCTTTTATTTAAGAAATATTCATTTTCTTTTTATAACTTTTGAGGAGTATAAACTTACTTCTTATTAAAAAATCTAACAAAAATATCAATACATCTCTTAAAGTTGCCTTTACGATGTGTCAGTTGATTACATGTAATTTACTTGGGAATTAATGTCACCTTGTGTGTGAACTTATATGGAAAACTTAAACAGCTGAAAAATTACAGTTGATCAATCGCGTTTGTCGTAAATTGTTTTATTGAAATTTGTGAAAACTTACAAACTTTAAGCATCAGCTAATTATATTACTTGCTATATTTGTAATATTATTAATGATCTTTTTATGGTAAACAATGATATTTTGTTATAACTCACTATATATTTAATATGATAACTCTTTGTTAGTACAGAAGTTTGCCAAGTAAAAACCAGTGTGTCTGTAACAAATTTAAATCAGTAGATAAAATAAACAACTGAATAAGAGCAAGGTTACTCTTTGACTACAGAATTATTCTTAAAGAATATTTTTTTTAATAAAATTTTTTTCTTATAGAGATTTTAGCATCTGTTTAACAGAATCTGTTTTTACTTTAATATTGTCCTAAATTTTATGATTATTTATATTGTTTGTTTAATTTGTTACAATGCCTTTTATTGGAAAAAATTAAAATTTCATTCTGCTTTTTCTTTTTTTTTTTCACTTTTTTATTTTCTTCCTTTTTATTCTTAATTATCTCACTTAAATTATTATTAAGAAGCTGAATAGGCATTATTAATATTAATGTGATTTTTCCTATTGATAATTAATGGAGCATTATTGTAATATTACAAAACTCATCATGTTATTTAAATCATATATCACCATCAATGTTTGATAACACAAACACATAAACATTATTGATAATGTAGTTGAAAATAAAATTACATTCATAAAATCACATTTTGGTAAATCTAATTATTATTAAAAAAAAAAAAAAAAAACTTCGGTTTTAAAACTTATAAATACTGACATATTTGTGACCTCTTCTTATAAATTAATTTGAACACTTTTTAATTTGATAAAATAATATTTTGCATTTTTTATTTTTTGTCTTATTTTTTTAGCTAATCAAAAAGAAGTTAGACGAGTTACCGTTCTTCACAGGGCAATATCCGACATACACGATTCTGAAGGTTGGTATGCTTTTATTCTATTATTATAATAATATAATAGTTCTATATTTTATACCAGTTTTTGTTAAATCTTCATATATATTTTTATCTTAGAAATTTTTCATTTGTAGACAAGATCCTTATATTACAAATATATTTTTTACGTATCATAATTAAAAAGTTAGATACAAAATATATTATAAGCTTTGTACTTGTCTCATTAAGAAAAAGATATTCTATATATATTTCATATATTCTGTAAATTAAAATGTATATAAAATATGTTAGAAATATCATGGAATTTATCAAATATTTATTTGTCCTAAAAATTTTTAATAAATTTTTAGTTCATAATAGAATCGATATACATAATAAACTACTTGAAATATTAATTTCATTTCGTAAATTTTTGTTTAATATATTGTGTATATTTTATACAATTTATTTAAGGGAAATATGAAATTCATATTTTATCTTAATTAGCTATTTTGTTAACAACAGAAATCTCATGTGCTAAAGATTCTAATTTTAATAAAATAGTAATGATGAAATATGCAAATAATATTTTCTTTATATTGCATACATATTTTATATTATATATATACAATACTTCATGCTATATACAATAATTTCGAAAGAATTACTAAAAAGATATACTACAACAATATTGCTTTTGCACATTTTTAAATCTTGATATATATCTTAGGAAATCCAAAATATAATTTGTAATTTTTTAGAAAACATTTTATGTAAACAAAATAAATAACCTGATCATCCTAAATAACATCTGAAGTATTCCATGGAATACTTCTATGGAGAAATGTTCTTGTATAAATTTCACGATATTGTGGGAGATATACATTACTACATTTTTTTTTTATATAATTTATTTATATTATATAAAAACGTACATATTTTTAACAAAATGTTCTATAAGAAACTATTAGTATTTGTCAGTTTTGATATTTAGTGTGATATCAGTAATAACTTTGTTTATGATTTCATTACTTTCATAATTCCACAATTAGAAATTATAGTTACTACAATAATAGTATTAGGTGCATTAATCACATGAATAAATTTGATTATTAAAAAGAAAAATTACAATGAAATTATAAAATGATAAGGTAGGCAGATATTTTCTAATTAATAAATGGTAATAACAAATATGCAACAAATAATGGACATTATTCTGAACATGAACTGTAACTACAGTTGATAGAAAGTTTGTGGCAATGTTATATCTCATTGGTTATTACATTTTAAATAGAAGACTCTTAAAAAAATACTATCTTTTATTGCATTTTAACATTAAAAATAGAAATTCCATTGAAAAAGATCAGAAAATATAAACTCATTCTGATATACCATAAAGAACTAATTTATTCATAAAAAATAATTATATCATTGTATTGCTTTTTGTTGCATAAAACATTCTTGTGTAGAATTGATATTATGTAAAATAAATTGTTAAAGAAAAAAAGTAAAATTATTTATTATTTATTAAGTTGAGAGCTATACAAAATTGCAGTGATAAAAAAAATATATGGATTACATAAAATGTCACTCTAAACCAAGCAACCCTCATATAAAAAAATTTTCATATATATATTTTAGAAATTATACAGGGTATGCAAGTTTAATGTATTACACTGTATATTTATAAATTTGTTCAACTAAAATAGATTTATTCTTTTGAAACTTCGTAATGATGCATGTGGGGCCTACAAAAGTATAAATACTGCTCTGGGTGTAAAAAGAGCAAACCTAATATGATTGATTTATACTATCTTTGTATGTAGAATTAATTTATATTTCCCTTTAGGACAGACATACATACATACTATGCAATAGTAACTATACAAGCATATATATCCATAGGTGCAGTATAACGATAGTGTAATGGATTTATTCACTGAATATACAGTATGGAATTGACAAGAATGATTATATAGTCTTATACAGAAATATACTATACACTATCTTCAGGCAATAACTGACTTATGACTAAAATATTTAAAAAATTTGATTTGTACTTTAAACAGTTTAATACTTCCTTTTGTTTTCAACATTTAATTATTTTCGTACTATTTTCGTGTAGCAATAATATTATGCAGAATAAATACTGACCTCTATCTAACGAATAGATGAAAAAATGTTGAACTAAAGATATAAATTGAATATGTGGTACTAAACCTTTATTTTTAAATGGATATTTCTGAATAGATATAACTGAATATTTATTTGCATAGAATTCCTTGTTTCAATGAGTAGTACAAGTCAACTTTTAACTGTCAGTAAGATATGTCTAATAGTGAATCTACTGACTCATCTTGTATATATTGATATCTTACTTATCCTACTTTAAACGTATATAAATGTTTCTCTTAACTATTATCTTTAAACCCTATAAGTATTTCAATTCTAAAATAATATTGTCTAATTCAATCAAAAGAATTGGAAAAAAAGTGAGACAGAAAATAGAGTTATAAAATTTAATTTATTAAATATTTATATTATTTATTATCGGCATGTAAATATTCATTAAAAAAATAAAATCATTTTTAACAGTAGACGATATTTCGAAACTTATTTTGATTCATGCATCTCTTATTGTTATCTTCATGTAATTTTTTGTAATTGACTATTTAAATATTATTGCTTCTTTTGCGTTTCTTTATAACAAAAAATTTTAAGGTATAGAGATTTAGACGATTAAAATAATTCAACGAATTCTCTTTGATAAATCCATTTATTTTACCAATTTTTCGTTTATTACATATAATACAATATAATATTGTTCATAGAATAATAATTATTAACTATATTATTTAAAAGTAATGAGAAAAAATTGTTTTTTAACTTCGAACAAAAATCATGTAGCAATTATGTTAGTTTTATTCTTTATTGAAAAGCATCGTATAAACCATTAAAAATTATTGTAATTTAATATTATAGTTAAGAATAAAATCTACTTTTTCTTATTTTTTTAGAAAAATTTTGTATTTCAAAAGTTGTGAATTTTTAATTTTGAACCAGTGATTTAAAGAACATATTTTTAATAAAAATGACTTGCTTTTAACTTAAGTTACGAAATTTAGTCATTTTTCTTAATAGAACCAAGTTGTAACACACATTTTAAAACTTTGAAAATTATGAATTTCGAGATCAGAACAATTAAAATTGATTATAGTTTTTAAGATATTTGATTATTTTTTATTATATGGATTACTACCTATATACATAAAAGCTTATCAATGTAGTTATGATATAGAATAAAAATATCATAAAAACATATGTTTAAAATACGGATTAAAAAAATATTTTTGATCATACTTAGGGAAGGAAAACATTAATGACTGATTAATCATTTTAAAATTATTTCTTCAAGAAATAATTATGTTCTGCATATTTCATCATACCTTATATTCAAATAAAGTTTCATAGAAATTAGGATCTTCAGAATTAGAAGTTCTCTGAGTAAGCAGTATCATATAATATTTATATTATTGATATACAATGTTTAAATATAATTTTTCATAATGGAAAAGACTAATTTACATATAGTAATAGTTGAATATATAATTTTTTAACAAACAGTATCTTACATGGCAAGAAATTATATAAAAATATAACAAATGTTTTCATTTTATAAATTTATTGTATAAATATATATAAATTGTGTTTACAGATGAAAGTGCTCTCGATTCAAAGGTGCCTGTGCGTTTTAGACTAGGTCTTAATAAACAAGTGCAAGATACCAGGGAGTCAAAAGTTTCACGAAAGGCATCTAAAAGACAGGGTCGCAAGGTAAACCATAAAGTCAATTTGACTGTTACAAATATAGAACATATTTTATAGTATAAAAGCTATACTTTACAATGTGTACATAATTCGCATATTCAAATTCTTTTAAAAACATAATACACATAACTTTGATATTGTAACATTTCAACTGCTTAAGTTTGCAATGTGCTTGTATTTTTGGTTTCTGACAAATTAATTGTATCAAATATCTTAAATATTATAAACTATTGTTAATTCTTTTCTTTAATGAATAGAAACATAAAAAATCTTGAATTAAATCAATATATGTAGTTTACATTTACAGTATAACAAATTTAAGCAGAAACTTCTTTATCATAGCACAGGCAAAAAGTGTAGCAAGAAAATAACATAATTTACTATTTCTATATAATATAAATCATAATCAACTTCTTAAAAATTTCTATTTATCTTTTTATCGTCTTTGAAAATATGAATATGTAAGTTAATATTTGACATTTAAATAATTAATTAATTTTTTAATAACATTATATTTATATTATATGACACAGAGGATGGTAAATAATAATGAATTGTATAATTTTAAAACATTATTTTACATTATTTGAGTAATTCTTGTATGCATGGAAATATTAAACGTACTTCACATTAAAAATTTGATAGTACAAAATAAATATTAATTCTTCATCAAATGTAGCATTTAATATTTTATAATATAATAAGATATGTTCAAAAAAATATTCAACATGTTTATTTATAGTTTATATTCTTTTATAATAGTGCTATTTAGTAATTTGTATTCTCATAGTACTGAAATAATTTAAATACACTGCAGTAAATTGAAAGAACAATATTTTTTCTTAATACTTTTATGAGTTTAAAATTTTTGAATGTATTTGTAAAGAATTCCTTTATTATTCATATAGCTAAATAATTAATTTTATAGCCATTTTTAATTGAAAATCCAGTAATTTAAAAAATAAAGTTATTCTAAATATGTTAAAACTAAAAAATGTATTTTTATAAATTTAATACTTTTTTTTAAGTTTTCAAATATATATGAATATTCATATTTCATCAATTATTTGTATTATTAATTTAAAAAATGAATATTTCTAAGTCTACTGTATTAAATATACTTTCAAAAAACAAATTTTAAACCGAATGTACAGTTGAAATCAGTCTTCTTTCTATGATTTTATGTTTATATAATATCCTGGTTCACAGTTTATTATCATTTTAAATATAGTACTTTTTAAATAGAAATTTTAAAATAAATATTGCATAATATGTTTTTATAAAATAATATGAATACTTTGCAGGCAATATTTAATTTTTTTAATTGAATTTTATGATTAATTATATACATATTTCATATATTCGTATATGTACATATAAAAATAAAAATATATATAATGATGTTTTTTAAATTTCATTTTTATTATGAAAGCAGACTATGATTACACTGACATTGCGAATTGTATGATGTTTGATGTGCTGACAATATTTCATTATATTATAAATTTTTTATTTCGTTTTAAGATGTTATTTTAAGCTATTTATTTCCTTTCTATAAACAAATAAACATTATTATAGCGCTATACACAGTGGAAGCGCGGGTATATACGCACACATTATGTAGCACTGTCGTTTTTAAAACTAGTTATAGAATATATAACAGGAACTTATAACAGGAATCGAAAATAATTACTAAGGAAAATAAATTCTAAGAAATGTAGTGATAAATACATTTGAAGTTATTAAAAAGGATTAGATAAAGAATAAAGTTAACTTCTTTCTTTTTAGTAAAATTTAAATATGATACAGTCAAAAAATTTATAAATTTAGTTAAATGTAATTTCTGTTGAAAGATGATAAACGTATCTACTTTTTTTTTTTGTTTAGGAATAGAATATACGTGTGTTCTCCCGATTGCATATTTATATGAAGAGTGCATAGCTGTTCATCTTACCTCCTATTTTATTATCAGCATATGAAGATAAGATCTATTAAAAGTTTAATTGTATAAAAAATTGCACTCATGTAGAAGAAATATCTGTTTTATTTGGCGTGTGACCTAACATAAAAATGAAAAGATAACATTTTTTTAGGAGACAATATCAATATTTCTAAATACTTTATGTATGATTGTATCTAATTATTTATTGTTAAGCGTTATAGTAGATAGTTGATTACATGTGATTATAAATCATTTGTTGTGTTAAAGTATTTGTAAATAATTTACATCAGTCACTCATTTAATAAATAAGCATCATTAATAATCCCAAAGTCACCTTTTGTAAACCTAAGTATATTAGTATTTTAAAAATTTCTGTATAAAGGAATCAATCAATTGTAAATAAGAATATTGTCAATAAGTGTGTGCAAAGTGAGAAATAAGTTGTATATCATGTAAATTGAGTTAATATTATTAAGGCATGGAATATACCATATAAAGTGACTTATAGCAACAGAAGAGTGATTTTTATTAGAATATATTTTTTACACTATATAGTTCGAAAATGACACGAATTTTTTAAGATAATTAATGGATGTGGTATAACCCTAAAATGACTTTTTTCTACTTGTTATTTAATATTTGAATTATGGATGCAAATGATTATTATATTTTAACAAGTATAAAAGGTTGTATTTCTGCACATATTTAGAGTTTACATGTATAATTATAATAGTATTATGATTCAATTATTTAAATAATATAGTTTTTCAGAATTGAAATATCCAGTAAATTGCAATAACATTTTATTCTACTTTTTTTACTAGATTCTCTACTATATAATTAAAAAACAAGATCATATGCGGTTATCTTCCTGTATTTTACATGATATTAAGTAAGATTTTGTCAAATAATTAGTTTTTATTATTAGACTTATATGTTTTTACTTTGTGTTTAGGAACAGCATGTAAAATACATATTGAAAGTAAATTATCACCATATGTTACCAGTAGATTGAGCTAGTAGCCAATATATTTACAAATAATTTAGATTATTAGATTTTTCGATTATATGAAATAGCATACTTCATAGTATCTATGAAGATGTAAGTGTTATTTTTAATTGAATAAAACAAATTATAACTACATTTATATGAACTTTTTTGATAGAAATTTTGATATCAAAAGTATTGCGATACCTTAGAATAAATTCAAAATATACATTTTTGACATATGTAGGAAAAGTAATATTTTAAATCATTACATGCGTGTTATGATTTATATTTCATTGGTCATATCATAATGATACAACTTGAAATGTACATTAAGAAAGCAATATAATGCTTTATGACAGTTAAACTATATTTCCTGTACTCTTCCACTTATATGCCTTTATGCATATGTTTTAAATATCAACTCCAAGAGTTGAGCAGTAAACATATTATTGTTATAAATATAAAATAACTCAAGAGACTTGCAATTGTTGAATCTATCTATCGTACAAAATGTGATACACAGCAAGACTTTTACAGTCTTATTAATAATAAGCAAATTACTTATTGTAGAATAACACAAACAATATTTCAAATTTATTTAAAGGTACATTATAAAATATAGTAATGCACATTATATCAATATGTGAATATTTTATTCTGGTCATATATCCTAATATTTTATTCTCACTTTATATATATAATTTAGATATTTTTAATATAAGATAAATACAACAGTAAAACGCGTGTAATGATAAGTATTTTAATTCTTTTACAAATTTCACTTGTAAGTGTTATTCTATAATAAGACTGTAATAAATCCGTAAATTTAATTACTGCTGTTATGATGTTTGGTTTATTTGTCTAATTTTTGTCACTGTAGTAAATACAGATGGAACTTCATAATTACAGAATTTGTCCAAGTAATTTATAAAATCACACAGCAAATATAAAATTTACATATGCATGTTTTTATTTTAACCTTTAGCATCCTATTACTTCAATATATGTTCATAGAATTATATTATTATATACATAAATGTATCACTATAAATCTAATTTTTTTGTCCATCTGTAATTTGCTACGTAAATTATTCTTATTATCGTGTATGACTGTACTATTTGTATAATTATGTACTTGTACTTACATTTTTTTACAAAATAACATATAGGTTTTAGATTGTTTAGACATAACAAAATACAAACCTCAAGTATTAATATGAAGCAAGTTCAGTGATATTTAATTCATATATTATTTGAAATAAATCAAGACTCTTATTTCAGAAAAATTTAAAATAAAATATTTTTGACTTAATTGTCTAATTTTATTTCTTATCCTAAAACTTAAGAAGCAATAAAATACATATGTTATGAAACACATTAATGGTTATAATATTTTATCAAAGGAAAAGATGAAAATATATTATGCACAACAGAAGTTCCAAAAAGTCAGAACTTTTTATAATATGTATAAATTTTCAATTTTTTAATATAATTTCTACTTATTTTGTAGAAATTCAACAAATGCAGAAAAACTATAATTTTCGCATCAGTTAATTACAACAGGAAATATGTGAAAAATTGGTTTTATATTTTTTTATATAAGAAATGAAACTTGAAGAGACATACTATTTTTGAATTATAACATAAAATTCAATGAATATTTCAAATGATAAATGGAAATTTTTAAACAAAAATAAACATTTCTTATTAAAAAAAAATACCTTAACATTAATGTAAATACATTGTATATCACTAATTATATAATTAGAACAGGTTTTACTTGCTTCAGAATACCATGCATTTTCTTCTTATTTCATACCAGTTATTTTTATGCATTAATATATAAGTTATTATCATTTTTCTCTTGGTTGATACATGTATATGAATAGTTATATCCATAAGAAATGTGTACATTAATGCAAAGAATATCTATTTCGAAATGATTAATAACAATATTTTAACAAAAACAATAAATTGAAAATTAATACACTTGTGTTAATTAGTAATGACGTTGCAACATTTTATATTATTTATTATATTGTTATCTAACTTAATAAATAAAAAAAATAAATTTTATTACATAATTGATTCATTTAATAAATAAAAAAAAGTATTTGTATTCTTGTATGAATTTCTTCTTAACACTACTTAATTTAAATTGTTTAATAATTAAGTTTTAAAAATATACTTCATCACTACATTAAAAAAGTAAATATAATAAATTATGAATTTTATACATTATTCGTAATTGCGTGTTTAACTAAAAAGTTTAAAATGTTATATAAAAAATAGAGTTATACATTTATAATTTATATATGTATACATATAATCGTAAAATATCAAAATAAACAATATAAAGTACAAAATATTAATGTTTTTTATAAAAGAGAATGAACAGAAACGTCGATATAATAGATTTCTGTACTATTTTTATTAATATGTTTATTCTTAAATTGTTTTGTTTATTAAAAAACAATCTAATCTTCATTCCGGTGATTCATAGAATTTTAAATTATAGTTTGGATCATAGAACCATTGTCAATATAAAATTAATAAAAGAAAAAAGATAAATAACAAGATTTATTAAATATGTAGGAAGATAAATCGAGTTGAAATAGTTAAAAAATAACGAAATAGAAATTTTCCAAGATCAAAAATGTATTTTGATTTTACTTTAATTGATTATATTATATTGAAGGAAGTATTCATTTTTTTAGAAATTTAGGTTCTCTATATAATATAGGTATCTAGACTTAAAAAATAAAAAATTTTAATTGAATAAGTTACTTATGAGATATTTTATTTTCTAAAATGAAAAATTATATTTCAAATTTTAATAAGAAAATGGTATGAAGTTTATAGTATTTTGTTTTAGAAATACAGTAATTAATAAAAATTTAGTAATGTTATTACGATTGGTATTACACAAAGTTTGTCCAAAGTTTGAATATGTTACCCAATAATTTAATGATATTCTATATACAGTGTATAAATACAATATTGACATAATATTGCTTTTAGATGAAAAATAGTTTACAATTTGTTTTTTAATAGTCACTATCACATCAGATAGTGAGTTAACGCGCAAATGTGATATACATAAATAAATGTGAATTATACATGTGAGTTCGTGTTTGGAATCGGTTTAAAGATTTAGATCGGAATTTAGTCGAGAAAGCAATGAAAAATAATATAATTAATAATAAATGAACTATATGTATTTGAATGCTTGGATATTAAATGAACAATCCTTTTCTGCGAATAAACATTTATTTATAAATATATATAGAATTATACTTGCTGAAATTTGTATATCGTGTTATCCGATTGATCTATTTTCTCTGAGATTCTTCGAGCTAGTCTAATCTTTCAAAAAATTGAATACATATAATTTAAGACGTGTTTGGAGCAGTTAACCTACATTTGTTTTCTTTTGTACCAGTTGTAAAAAGTCTTTTAATGAATTCAAGCTAAGCTAATAAATTTAAATAAATTTAAGCTAAATTAGTCATTTAGAATTTTCCTGACCTGAGTCATCAATTCTATATGAAAATACTTCCCTCAAGCTGGCAACAACAGGTTATGTAACATGCTGTTTGTTATCGTATTCGGAAAATCAGAAAGACCAAAGCTATGAAACTGGAACTTTTATTATTTCTGCTAGTTTTTTTTTTCTCAAATATAGTAATGTTTTCACGGCCATAAAGCTATAGTTCTATTCAAAATTGTCTTATAAAAAACAATGTGTATGATGACAGTAAAAGTTGTAATAAAAGTTGTTATCATTATCAATACATTTTTATAAATCAGTGCTAAAACATATTGTTTAAAGTGTAATCGTTATTAATTCTGTTATCCTAATTAACAGACGTACATGCCGTTATCAAATGATAATTGAAATTATCAGTTCGAACTTTAGAGATCTTATACATCTCCTTATAAATTAAAAATTGGTAAGTACTGTTTAGATTATTCATTTTAATACACTGTTGAAGTATCTCAATATTATCTACTAATGTATTATA